CAAGGGAAGAGTGAGGAGAGTTCGGGTGATCTCTTGGACAAATCACCCATCAGGTTGCCACAATAGGGTCTGCACGCAAAGGGAGGGGCAAGGGGGAAGCTAGAGGTTCTCCCCGTGGACCGACCCGTGACGAGATCCTATGCCCGGGCCCATAACATGTTGCATGCCATATAAGACTTTGGCATGAACTGTGCAATTATTGTCCAAGGGATCATTGAGTAATTGGTGAGGCATTTGATGACTGACTTTGCGTCTGGTCCATTCCTTATTCTTCTTTTGACTATTTCAGAAAACTGATAATGACAGTTGCATTCATTAATTTAAGTTAGATTCTGGTAAGAGGTTCCCTTGCATGTGCCCCATATTCATATTTACCAGTGAATATATTAGTTTAGAATCCTCAGAATCATCCCTACGACCTACATTTTAATAAGCATACTCTATTTTCTGCTAAGATTGAACATCAAGAGGTTCACTCTAACATTTTCTTCTTTACAGACTTTGAACAGGTAGTTAGTCCTGTTTCTGTTGCACATTTCTCACAGTACAAACTAACGAGGTTACTAGTTAAGCAGCTGGAGAAACTTGGTTTTTGTGTTTGTGATAGTGATGGGTTAGAAACCATTGACTATGGGACCCTCAGGGCAGGGGAGATATTAATGGGGCATGAATGCGTATCTATCAAATACAATGATAGTTGTATTACAGTGGGTGCTTGCTTTGTCAAAGAAGGGAAGAAGATTGAGAGAAATATCAACTGTACTATCCTCATTGGTTCTGATGGTGCTGGCAGCACAGTGAGAAAGCTCATGGGGATAGAAATGAGAGGTGAAAGAGACTTGCAGAACCTTGTCAGTATCCATTTCTTTAGCCAAAACCTTGGGCACTACCTACTTCATGATAGACCAGGGATGCTGTTCTTCATATTCAATACAGATGCTATAGGTGTTCTTGTTGCACATGATCTCAACCAAGGTGAATTTGTGTTGCAGGTACTACAATACCCAGACTGACTATAGAATTGCCATGATTTCATTGACAATGCCTTGATACGTCCTGTTCTTAACTAATGATTGTTATGCTTGCTTTTTTCCACAGGTACCCTTCTATCCTCCTCAGCAAAACATCAAGGACTTCAGTTTCGAGGTATACCTATTCCTTGCAAAATACTTATGCAACATTGTACTAGTGTTCTATTCTTTTGTGATTTCATTTTCATGAGAACATATGAAGGACAAATAATTTGATTAGGATAAGAGGCTGGAAAAAATATTTGCCCACCTTTGCAGTAATTGTGGCACTCATGTAATCACTCTAGACATAACTAATAATCTGGCAGGTTTCCATTTCACACATGACTACCCATCCTGTTGTAGGTATGCAAAGAACTAATTCTCAAATTGGTGGGCCAAAATCTTGTTGACATAGATGTGGTTGATATAAAGCCATGGGTGATGCATGCTGAAGTTGCTGAGGAGTTTGTTTCTGGTGGCAACCGAATAATACTTGCTGGTGATGCGGCTCATCGTTTTCCTCCAGCTGGTGGTTTTGGTGAGTGACATTTCTTTCATGTCAATATTGGGAAGCCCATTTCCCTTCACCATATTCTTTTTTTTTTCCTGTTCCTGATTGACAAATTGTTTCTTCTCACCTGGAAGTAGCTATCAGTTCTGTTAAAAAAGGAAAAAAAGACAAGCAAGTTAGGTGTCACCCAGTGAGGAATACTCCGCTTGGAAGGTTTCGGTTGTCCCTAGTTCTCTGGAATTAATGGAACACGTGAAGGGGATATGGACTAATCATCCAAAAAATTGAAATTACTGCCATAACCTTCCAGTCTATCTCATACACTTGAAATGTGAGAAATAAAATAAATAGGCACTAAGAAAAGAAAAGAAATCAGGTGACATGTATTTTGTTAAAATTGTAAAGAGGCAAAATCCACAGGAAATAAGTCATCATCCCTAGCTGGATTAGCTATAATTGCTATACATGCTAGTGTGTGGCACCCTTGATTTTGCTAATCTATCAATAGGAGTATTCAGTTTACTCTATCGACCTGATCTTGGATTTAGATGATGGTGTCAATATGATCTTGTTTTAGCAATTGTGCAATCCTCCAAGAGGCCCTTGCCAGGACCCTTTCCTCAAATTAAAGCTTGGTCCCCTTCAATCTTCAAGGGAAAATCCCCTCTCTTTGGCTATCCTCGATCCAAAAAAATGCACTCTTTTGTTATTATTAATTCACTCTCGCTTATCAGGCTGCTGAACACCCAGATCATGTTGTTCCATGGAATATCCTGCAAGTCCTACTTGTCTGGACTGTGACTTAGGAACTTTCCAATGTGCTCCTAATGAATATGAGGATCATTGTTTTCAAATGGACTGGAGTTGGAGCTAATACAACTAAGGGCAGCAACCATGTTAGGTCTAGCGGTAGAGGGCTGATTCCTGTGAGTGTTTTTTTTTTTTTTTTTTTTTAAATCCAGTGTCCAATAAAGGATTTTTTTTATCAGAAACGATAACTTTCATTAGAGATAAATTAACCTGAAATACAGAATTCAACCCTTATTAGAAAAGGTTGATCCAATAAACATCAAACATTACATCACTGCCCAAAAAAGACTCTCCCTTGCAGTCCCTTGTTTTGCTAGGGCGTCAGCAAAACCATTTGCTGATGTCCTTACCCACTTGAACCAAACACCCACCTCCCTTGTTACGCTAAGAATTTCCCTTATCAGCTGTCTATATTGCCAAATTCCCAGCTTCCCTGATTGCATCCACCCAATTACCAACTTGGAGTCTCCCTCTATCTCAATCTGCTGTAGCCCCAAGTGTTTGGCCAGTTTTACACCTTGATGTAGTGCCAAGATTTCCGCTCTTAAGGAATCTCCAATTCCTATTGGACCTGAAAACAGAGCCATTATCTTGCCTTCATTATCTCTGAAAACACCTCCTATACCAGATGGGCCTGGATTACCTATAGAGCTTCCATCAAAGTTCAGTTTCACCCTTTGTTGTGTCGGTGGGGACCAAACTTCCTGTATTGATAGCAGCAAGGGGTGATGGCTTGATTTTAGATGCATTTTTGTTTCTTTCCTACCACTACCCCCACATCGCATTGTGATTGGAGAGGTTAAGAAGATACTATTTTCTTTGTTCTTTTATTGTACATGTTTCATCACTTCTTCCTTCTCACTTTGATTGATGCAGGAATGAACACTGGCATTCAGGATGCTCATAACCTTGCCTGGAAAATAGCTTGTCTAGTAAAGGGTATAGCTCCCCCTTCAATTCTTCGCACTTATGAAATGGAACGTAGGCCGGTATAGCTTCCTTTTTTTCCTATGCAACTTTCGTGTTATTGTAATGTTGATACTTTTCCAAATATCTAGGGGTCCTTAACACCCATCTCTTATTGCTTTCAGATCGCCATTTTCAATACAGCACTTAGTGTTCAGAACTTTAAAGCTGCTATGTCAGTTCCTTCGGCACTTGGTCTTGACCCAACTGTTGCAAACAAAGGTGGACTAGAACTATTTATATCTTTGATTTCAGACTTTCAGTTTCTCATGTAATCTGTAAGACTGTATTCTGGTTCTGGCTAGGTTTTTCTTGCATCCGTCACAGAATATATAATCTGTGCTTTTATGCTGGTTTAACAGTACATCAAATAATTAATAGTGAAGTTGGTTCTATTTTACCCTCTGGACTACAAAGAGCACTTTTAAATGGGATTTTCACGATTGGTCGTGCACAACTCTCAGAATATATTTTGAGTGAAAGAAATCCTCTTGGATCTTCAAGGCTTGTTAAACTACAGCGAATATTTGATGAAGGAAAGAGCCTTCAGCTTCAGTTTCCTACTGAGGATCTTGGTTTCAGGTATCATTTGTGATTCAGATCAATAAAAATGTTCTCTTGTGATAGTCCATATTTTATGCTGTTTAACTTAGGGTCTGCTTGGTTTGCATTCAGAATTGGAATCAAAATCCCTTGGAATCAGAATTGGAATGGTTTATTCCCATAGTCTCTTTGGTTCAGACAGGAACCGGAACCGGATTTGGAATAAGCTGGAATGGGATTTCATTCCTAAGGGAGGGGGAGGGAATGACCATTCCCTCAAATGGGGGAATGCCATTCCAGCAGAAATAGCAATGGCATTCTGATTCCGCCCAACCGAACAGTTAGAATTGGAATAACCCATTCTGATTCCGATTCCAGACCCATATTCCCGTGAACCAAAGGGGCCCTTAATTTCCATAAACCTAGATTTTTCTCCTAACTTGCTTACTATCCTGACCAAACTGACCCTAGATTTTTCCGACAACCAAAGAAGAAATGAAGGGTGATATGGAGAACGAGGGCAGCTATCTTGTGGGCAGTGTGGGAAGAGAGAAATAATAGGATTTTCCAAGGGAAAGAAAAATCAGCTCCTGAAGTTATTGAAGTGATCACCATCAAGGCAGTACATTGGCTGAAAACTCTTGACTTGTTCAAGGATGTCTCCATAGATGATTTGACTAGAGGCTGGAGTATTTTAGCAAGGTCTTCTACTTCATCACTTACCATACAAGCAGTTTGGTCCCCTCCTTTGCAGTGTAATGTTAAACTGAATTTTGATGGCAGCTCTCTTGGGAACCCTGGACCTTCTGGAATAGGGGGTGTGTTTAGAGATGCTGAAGGAAAAATCCTAGCTATGTATTCTGGTCCAATAGGTTTGGCGGACTTGCTTAGAGCTGAAGTGTTGGCTCTCCTCCATGGGCTCAGATGGGCCAAACAACTGGGCTTTCAACAGTTAGAAGTGGAGGGAGATTCAAAATTAGTAGTAGGTTGGCTGCAATCAAATAGTTTGGGAACATGGTCCCTTAGACAACCTGTAAGGGAATTATTGAGCTTCACAAGGGAGCTGGGTGCACAAGTTTATTGGTCTAGGAGGTCAGCAAATGCTTTAACTGACAACCTAGCAAAACAAGGGGTGAATCGGGAGGTTTTGTTTTGGGAAATGTTTAAGTTATTTTTTGTTCAGGGGCCACCTTTCACTTTAGAAGGTTACAGTTGTTCTTCTGGTTTTATCTAATGAAAGTTACCATTTCCTATAAAAAAAAATCCTGACCAAACTGACTTTGATTAGTCCAACATATATGGATCCAAGTTGCAAAAGCAATAAGATATGGTTTTAAGAAGGTTTAATCGGCTGAAGTGGTTGGACTGAATAACTTAATGCTTTGTTTTTTAGTGAGTAAACCATTAAGTAGGGTGTAAGCTTCTTAAATGGTTGAATGGCATGCTTGGTTGATTTCTACTAAAAGACAAAGCAATAAGCCATTCAATTCAGGCAATTCAGTCATCATCGAACAGCTTAACAGCCCCTATGGTTTGTTCAACCTAGCTCAGAATTCCACTACAATTGATGGTTAAATTTTGTGGCTTTCCAGAAGTCTGAAAACTTTCCTTGAGATTGTGATAGCTTATGAACACTGGTTCAGTTTGAATGAATTGACTTTCTTAACTTCCATGTTGATATTAGGTACCTCCAAGGAGCACTTGTTCCTGACAGTGATAAGGTACCAAATGCACTGAAAGAAACACCTACTGGTCTTCGGAGGAACTTTATTCCATCTGCAGAGCCAGGGTCACGGCTGCCACATATGACTGTGAAAGTGTTGCAGAAGTTATCAAATAAGGTCTGTTTACTTTGACTTGTACATAGAAATATTGGGGTCTCCCGGGGCAGGTACTACTAATATGAAGTCTGATGCAATGAACATCAGTGTGTGATTTACGGATCAAGGTGGTTATGACCATCCCATCTGTTATTTTACTTGTGATATCACCTAATCATGATCCATAAAATGATGGTCCTACATGAGTGGACCATGTTTTTCTTTATACTATGTCTAAAATGGGGTCCTCAGTATTGGTACTTTAGACCTTATTGTGGTAGTTTTCTTTGATTCTTCTCTCTTTTCATCTAGTCATCTTTTATCTTTGCAGGAGACATTTTCTACATTGGATCTGGTATCTGGAAATAAAATTGAGTTCCTTCTCATTGTAGCACCAAAGAAGCAATCCTATGATCTTGCTAGAGCGGCCTTCAAGGTGGCGAAGGAATTCAAAGTTTCTCTTAAGGTGTGTGTCATTTGGCCGCATCGTGTTGCTGAGAAAATGGATGGAAGTAGAGCTGCATTAATACCCAACACGAATTATATAGATGTTGAGGAAGTTTGGAGGTCATCATCTTCACTTTCATGGTGGGGAATCTGTCAGGTGACTGACAGAGGAGCCATTTTGGTTAGGCCTGATGAACACATTGCCTGGCGGGCAAAGTCAGAAGTCCTTGGTGATCATGTTTTGGAGATGGAGAAGGTCTTTTCTTTAGTATTAGCAATTAAAAAAACTCGTGTATAGGAAGGTACTGGTGATACTGATGACAGATTCTTGCACCAAGATACCAAGAAGCTATCTTTCTTATGTTGCTGCATAAGAGTACGGATGCAACAGATTGAGCCATTCTGCTTGATGGTCCTGGATTTACCGATTACTGAACATTTTATCTAGATTTTCTTCATTCTTTGATCCTTACTGCTGAACATAAGATAATATATTTAATGGATAAGATCATCCAATTTTGGTTACTTTTGGCTTATTGGAGTGACTATGAAATATGAAATTTTAGCAATTTTCAAATAACACAATGTCTCTGGGTTTTCCTGTTGGATATTTATAGTACAAGAATGTCATACAATAAATTTGTTAAAATCTCTCTCTCTCTCTCTCTCTCTCTCTCCTTACCTTCTAAGTGTAACAAACGATTGGTCCTGCTGAGGGTAATCTGGGTCAATATTGTCTGTCAGGCTTGGCTGCCTCCCGTTACCAGATTACCTGATCAGATGGATCATCATCGTTTCAAATAGTTTGTTCACCTTCCTTTTTCTTTTAATTTCTTTAATTTGCTAACAAGTTTGTCTTATTTGTCCAATAGCATGAGTTATGATTTTATAGTTTCTTTTCTTTTTGCTGCGATTTTATAGCTTGTTTCTGATCAAGACATCTCCGCAGGACTGCTGGTGGCACCGTGGCACTATTGGTGTGGGTTCTGATCCATAAATCATATCCTATGCATGATATTTCTCCTATTGGGATATACCGGTCTCATGTGTCTTTTCTCTCTTTTTTTTATTCATTTATTCACTGACCTCTCACCTGATTATCTATAATACCTTGTCTCATTTAGGAAGCTATACCTATACGTCTCACATTGTGGGTTTTGATATTTGGATCCGGTAAAACAGTAATAATAATGAATGATAATAATTCTATATTCGATGATGATAAAATAGTAATATTTATTGAAAAATTGATTTTCTAATTTTCCATTTACATGAACCCAAGTCTCATTACTCTTTTATTTCAAATGGCCAAGTATGAGGTAAACTGTGAACCTACACTTTCTTCCTGGTTGGGTATTGAATCCGCTGCCATTCCATGTATTGGACTTGATGTATTATAACACATCTGGGGTAATTGTTGCCTTTGACCTGATCCACTGATACCCTATATTTTGGAATGAAGTTACTTGTAATGTGAGTCACTAGCTAGGGGTGTCCACATCGAACCGTGGGGTGATTTTTTGGACCAAATCGATTTTTTCGGTTTTTATATTTAATCGAACCGAAACTGAACTGATGCATTCGTTTAACTGGTTGATTGGTTAATTGCGGCTCGATTTTTTGTTTTTTTTTTTTTTTCTCACGCCCTCAAAATTAAAAAAAAAGGAAACTAGGAGAGTGGGAGTTTGAGAGATTGTCGCCGAAGCAAGAGGGATTGCAGTGTCGGAGGCCGTCGGTCCGTTGGGGAAGAACGAAGAAGAGAATTGGGAGTCAGAGAGAGAGAGAGGGAAAAAAAGGGAAAAGGGAAAGACGCGGCGGGTGTCAGACAGGATGTTGTGGAAGCAGGAGGGATCGTCGGTGTTGCTGAAGCAGGAGGGATCACAGGTGTCGGAGGCTGTCGGTGATTCGGTCGGAGGGCGGAGCGTCGAAGGCCGTCGGTCCTTTGGGGAAGAACGAAGAAGAGAACTCAGATCTGGGACTGTGAGAGAGAGAGGGAAAAAAGGGAAAAGGGAAAGACGCGGCGGTTGTCAGACAGGATGTTGTGGAAGCAGGAGGGATCGTCGGTGTTGCTGAAGCAGGAGGGATCATAGGTGTCGGAGGCTGTCGGTGATTCGGTCGGAGGGCGGAGCGCCGAAGGCCGTCGGTCCATTGGGGAAGAACGAAGAAGAGAACTCAGATCTGGGACTGAGAGAGAGTGAGAGGGAAAGGCGCGGGTGTCAATCTGTCAGACAGGCTGTTCGCTAGTCTACCAAAAAGTCTCAGTTTGGCAGTTTAAACACTCTCAGACTGTTGAACTTTTTTATTAGATTTTCAAGAAAAAAACATATTATATATATCAGTCGGTTCGGTTAACCGCCGGTTTTTTTAAATGGTTAACCAAAATCGAATCGATCAGTTTAATTAATTAATTTTTTGGTTCGATTTCGGTCAATTTTTTTTTGATTGGTTCGGTTTTTCGGTTTTTTTTGCTCATCCCTAGCCACTACATGTCTTTCAATCCTAAATGTGTGAGAGAATTTACTTTGATCTTCAGATACCTCTTATTCCTGCTTATTTTTGTCAGAATTTTAATTCCTTTGCCAAACAACTAAACCAAAAGAAATTGACTCAAATGGCTTCTGCTAGAACGCAAATTTTAGGCTCTAAACTGTGAGCACCTGGTGCATTTATTTTTCTTGATTTTTATTTCTATATTTTTAATGCATCATCTTGGATAATATCGATTATCTGATTGGATTTTTTTTCTGAAAATTTAGAACGTTTGTGGAACATTAGAGGAGTATGTTTAAGAAAGCTAACTTTAGCCTTGTAATATTATAATGGTGAATATTACAACATTTCATATTGTTTTTTGATAGGCAACAAAATTCTAGATTTCGCTAAAACATCATTGCATTCATGCTAGTAACTTTTGTAAACCTACCTTTGTATTTCATTCCTATTTGTAAAGAGAATGTTTGCATACATAATTTGGCTGAGAAGCAAGAATAATGTGTTATAGGTAATTTGGATCGGCTCGGCTCGACACGACACGACAGTACGTGGACTATGCTAGGCCTAGGGTTTCAGATCCATGGGCCAGCATGGCACGATACGATTGTGCGTGCCGTAACGCCCACGAGACCGTAGTGGGCTGCGCTCGGATTGCCTCAGCTTTTTTACAAAAATACCCCTAACAACTATATAGGGGGGTATTTATGTATTTGGTTTTGGGGGGAGAAAGAAAGACACAAATGCCCCCAACAGCTATATAACAACTAGTTTAGGGGAGGGCATTTTGGGTAAAGTGATAAATAACTTTACAATGACCAAAATACCCCTCCTAACAACTAAAAAATGACTAGTTTTTAGGTTATTTTGGGCAATTGAATTACTTTAAATTCCTATAAATAACCATATCCTCCACCATTCTCATCATACCAATTCAACAATTCTCTTAATCTCTTCTCTATTTTTCATACTCTCAAGTTTTAATCTCTAAATCTCTCATAGATTCTCTGATTCTCAACTTTATCGAAGTTTCAACAAGAAGAAGGCTTGCTCAATAACTCAAGTATCTCAAGTTAGCAATTTGGGAGGCTTGGACTCTTGGAGTTGAAATGCTTCAACCATTGAAATCAAGTTGGGATTCCGAACCGACAATTCGGGTAAGTGCAATTAAATTAATTTTTATTTTTTAGAATTAAAAAAAAATGGCAGGCTCCTCTTGAAACCAATTCCCCAACATGTTCAATGTTGACAATATTTAGTTGCACCATGGTAGTGTTAGCACCGATATGGATGATATTGATATTGATGAAACTTCCACCCTTAGTACTGATACTAGGGGAAAGAAAAAGAAGGCTACTAAGTTGATTAGCTCGATTTGGAAAATCTTTAAAGAAGAGGAGGTTCAGGGAAAGGAAAAAAAAAGTTGTTTGCCAAGAATGTAGGAAAGACTTTAGCTATTATAGCAAAGGTGGTACTAGCCATTTGGGCAGACATTTGCTCACCCATGAGAAAGAAGAAGAAGATGGGAGAGAAACAACACAAACACAAATTGGGTGGAGGGGGTTGGTATTTTTAAATATTCTCAAAAAAAAAAGAGAGGCAAGAATTAGCAAAATACATTATACATGATGAACAACCATTTTTGTTAGTTGAAGATACTAAACTTGAAAAATGGTTACACAATTATGTAAATCCACAATTTTAAAAAGATTTTAGGAATACTATTAGATCAGATGCTTTAAAATTTTTTTATTCATATAAACAAATTTTAATTTATATGTTATCAAATCTTAATTCTAAAGTTGTAATTACTTTTGATATTTGGACTTTTAAATTTAACATAAGTTATATTTGTGTTACCGGTCATTCTATTGATGAAAATTGACTTTTAAATAAAAGAATTTCAAGTTTTACTAGGCTTGTATGGCCACATATTGGCCCAACTATTGCTGCAAGTATTTTAAATACTTTACATGCTTATGGAATTGATAATAAATTATTTTCTATTAGTTTTGATAATGCTAATAATAATGATTCATCAATAAATATTTTAAAATCTCAATTAAAACCATGTTTAAATGGTAAATTATTTTATATCATATGTGCATGTCACATCTTAAATTTATGTATCCAAGATGTTTTAAATATTATTTCACTCATATTTCTAAAATTAGAAATTGTATTATATATATTTTAAAAGTCTTGGAGCAAGAAAGCAAGAATTTAAATATTTTTGTCAAAATTATGGTTTAAAATATAAACATTTTATACTAGATGTTAAACATAGATGGAATTCTACCTATTCTATGTTAGAAAGTTGTATTTCTCACAAACAAATTCTTAGTGATTTTTATAATGCAAAAATGCTTACTGATATTATATTTGAGGAAGATCGGGAAATGACAATTTACATAAGAGATTTTTTAAAACATTTTTATGATGCAACTAATGAATTATCGGGTATTTATTATCTAACTAGTTGTAATTTAGCTTATCAATTAATGATGATTAGTGATTGTTTTACAAAATATAGAAAGAATCCACAATTTAAAAGTATTGTTGAAATAATGGAAAATAAATTTAAAAATATTAGGAAAACATTTATCCTCTTAATTTCTTAGCTACAATATTAGATCATAGGATTAGAAAAGATGGTTTAGACATTTTAGTTGAAATATATTGTGAAAATATGAATATTGAAATTAGAAATAAAAAATAAGAAATTAATAGTTTATTATTTGAAATGTATAGTTTTATATGAATTTGAAGTAACAAGGAATAATAAAAATTCTACAACTTATACATCTACATCTTCCACTTCTGAACTTCAGGGCAGTAGTGAAAGAGAAAAACTTTTTTATTTAATAAGTAAGAGGCAAAAATCCACTGCCTCAACAACAAGTTCATTTACTGAACCTAATTTTTATTTACAAGCAAATTTTTCTACTTTAGGTGATTCTTCTTTCACCTCAGAGGGAACAAATAATTTTAATATTTTAGCTTGGTGGAGTGAACAAGCAAAAAATTATCTAGTTTTTGCCGCCATGGCACTTGATCTACTAACCCCTCTGGTGTCTACAGTTCAATCAGAGTCTTGTTTTAGTACAGGTACTAGGGTGTTGGACGACAAGAGAAGTTGTATGAATGATGAAAGTCTAGAGATGTGCATATGCTTTAAAGATTGGTTGGATGCTGAAGATAGATTACGAGACTAAGGAGGGCATGACACTACACTTGATGTTTCACCTGAAGTAGATGATCAAAGTCAAGAACAATAGGAGAAAATGATGAAGTCAATATTTTTTGTATACTCAATAGTTGTATAACATTTTTTCAAATTATTGTAAATTTTGTTTTATTTTTATTTAATTTATTTGATATTTTTTTAATAACGTAGTTTTTTATTTTCAATTTGTAACTATATTGTATTTTTTATATTTTATTAAGGGTAAATTACAAAGACCCCCTTGTACTATGGGGTCAGTGACAAAGTCCCCCTTTTACATTTTTTTTGCGACAAAGACCCTCTAAACTTTAGCCGTTAAACAAAGACCCCCTTCTGTTAATGTTCTGTCAGTTAACTTCGAAAAATTTTTCATTTGACTGTTTAAAGTTTTTTAAATGTCCAAGCTACCCTTTTTATACTGTTCATTGTCTTCTCCATTGGAGTTAGGTGAAATGGCTACAATAAAAACAACGATTTTGAAACATTTAATGGAGAACATTAACAAAATAAAGGGGACCCCTTTTATGACGAAGATGGGAAAAAGGATGAATTAGAAGACTTAACTAGAGACGAGAAAGAAGCCAAATAAGCTTTGGGGTGAACCAATAAGGGCACCATAACTCACCCTTGTAAATCTTCTTGTACATTACCACTCTGTAGGAAGGGAAAATAACTAGCAATCAAAACAAACAAAACCACTCTGTAGGATCAGATATCCATTTCCTAGGTTAAATAGGTTTTAATAGAAAAAGGGCAAGAAAAAGAAAATAGAAAAAGTTTAGTGGGGTATTTTGATAATTTAACGCTTTCCGTCATCTGACTTAACAGCCAAGGGGGTCTTTGTCGCAAAAAAAAAGTACAAGGGGACTTTGTCACTGACCCCATAATACATGGGGGGTCTTTGTAATTTACCCTTTTATTAATTTATTCCATTTTCTAATTTTCATATTTCATTCATCCAAACATTGTATGCTTTGTACCATTCAAATTTAAATGAAATAAAATTTCTATTTTTCTTCCAATTTGTTATTTGAGTCTTTATCTCTTTGACTTCTTATTTGGTTAAGTATTTTTTTCATTTCTTTGTTAGATTTCTTATTTTTTTTCAAACAGTTCCCAAAGAAAGTTATATTTTAGTTTTACTTAGCAAAGAAATAAAAATATAAAAAATATAAAAAAAGCAAAAAAAACAAAAAAATAGTCCGACTCAGTTTGGCCCACGCCTAAGGCCTGGCTTGTGGCCTAGCCCGACATGGCCCAAGCCCATGGCATGGCCTATAGCCCACCCGGTCTAGGCCCGCGGCACGGCACGGGCCCGCACAGGCTTGGGCCATGTCGGGCCAACTGCCCAAATTATCCCTGGGGAGAGCGGCATGGCCTAGGACAGTCCACGGGCCGACACAACCCATTTTACACCTCTAAATCACACCAAAGAGACCTTGCTCAACAAGAACATAACTGCATCTTCTATCCTCATTCCCTAGCCATTAAAAATTACTTTATGCCATGTTTGGTTCAATTCTCATTCTTTCCCATTCTTACTCAAGATGAAATTTTAAAATGGATAAGAATGGGTAAAAATAGGCAGAATGAGAAAATATTGCTATGAAGCAAACACTTTTTTTCCTAAAAATGAATTCTTTTCAGACTAACAAGTGTCCTATGTTGCTCATTTTTATTTTTCAAAAAAAAAAAATGCCGGTATTCATAAATTGCTAGCCTAGGTCTCCAACATTTAATGTTTACGAGTTGGCATAGATGTTTTGTAAAAATACTTTCTTAAAAGTGCTTTTATATAAGTATTTTTTGTAAAAGTGTTTTTGTAAAAGTACTTCTATAAAAATGCTTTATAAAAGTACTTTTGTAAAAGTGTTTTTTATTAAAGTGCTTTCATAAAATTACTTTTATAAAAGCAATTTTATGCTATGGGACTGATTTTTCATTCTAAACAGAATCTAGCCCATGACAAGAATTTTGCCTATTATAGAGGTTTTTTTTTTTTTTGTGAACGGCCCTTGAATAACACAGCACCACACTAATAGCCCCCTCCACAAAGTCCATAATAGTGGGAATTGAATCCGCATCTCTGTTAGAACAAACCAGCTAACGTAGCAAGTGACCCACCTCTTAGTTAGCTATTCTAGTTCATGGGGTGGCAGCAACATTGACGGTACAAATCTTGGAGCAACACAATAATATGTGTAACTTTCAAGATTGAAAACTATTGATCCTTAGTTTTTGTACTTAGAGAGGATCCGTCATGAGAGACAGATGAAATCATGAAATGTCGGGGTGCAGAGAAATGAAAAATAAGGCCTCAATACAAGTCCTATCACTCTTACTTCAGAAGCCTTTTAATTTGCAATTACATAAGATTTCTAAGCGCTGGGTCCGATGGTAGATGTAGGGCAGTAGGGGGTATTTGGTACTGTGGTCATCTTATGTGATGTGCTTGAATTTACTGGCGTGAATTGATGCATGAGAATTGATCCATGAGGTGAGATTTAGCCCTAGATCTAACAGTTTGTGATCGATGTGGTCATCATTCAATCCAGTATAGCGTGAATTGATGCGTGAGAATTGATCCATGAGGTGAGATTTAGCCCTAGATCTAACAGTTTGTGATCGAAATGAATCGGTCTGCATTCCAAATCACTTATTCATCTCCTATGGTTAAGAATTGATCTAAAAACCATGTTTTTTTTTCAGATTTATCAAAAAAGTTATTCTATATAGAAAAAAGTGTCAATATTTTAATAAGATAAAAATATTTTTTTAATAATAAAATTTTTATGACTATAACAATCATTATTTTATTTAATTAAAAAAAATAAAAAAACATAATAAATATAATTTCAGGTTAAATGTTTTCCAGAAAACAGCCTGAGAGAGAACCTCGTTCACCATTAATGCCTAAAAAGTTTCCTAATCCTTCATACATTGATCCTCCCCCATCGATATCTCACCCCAGCAAAACAGGTGACCAAATATGTGATATATACATATTATACAAATTCATTATTGAAAACTCTAGATCTATTCAGGCCAGCAGTGTGAGGTGTTGCCACGTATCTACCGCTCGTCCTATCTGGAACAAATACGCAACCCGAGGAAGGCACAAACTTCAAACAAAGAAACTGAGTTATCTAATTATCCTTCTCTTTCTCAGTTCTCGCCATTCCCATCGGACACCTTTAGATAGATAGATAGATAAGAACCAACTCTTTTTCCCAATTATCATGACGCTGACACAGTCTGTGTCTATCCAGTACCAATATCACACTTGTCTTCCCTTCCCCCTATATCCTATAAATCCCCCCCTCCCTCTTCTCTTTTTCTCTCGCTCGCAGCAGCCTCTCTCAAGTCTCACCACAACTGAAAACAACAACTACGTCGAGATTATTTATATTATTAAAAATTAATATACGATGACGAACGTGGCGCCCTACTCTCGCACAACGTCGTTGAACTGCTACGATGTACCGAATGGTGTGGACGTCAGAGGTCGATACGATGATGAGTTCGCGAAGATTCTGACTAAAGATGCGTTGCAATTTGTATCAGAGTTACAGAGGGAGTTCCGAAGCCACATCAAGTACGCCTTGGAGTGCCGCAAGGAGGCACAAAGGAAGTACAACGCAGGATGTTTGCCTGGTTTTGATCCGGCGACGAGGTGCATACGGGAAGGGGAGTGGGTATGTGCGTCGGTACCGCCGGCCGTCGCCGATCGGAGGGTGGAGATCACGGGGCCTGTGGAACGAAAGATGATTATCAATGCCCTCAACTCCGGAGCCAAAGTGTTCATGGTGAGGGCGGACAGGGTTACGTTAGTTTTTGATTTCCTTTTATATTACCAAGCAAAGCATCTCATTCACGAATCACGACAGCATACATACTAACTACATTCATCTCATGCACGATAACGTGTGCATGCATGCATCTCAAACTCTCAATTCTCAATTTCTCATGTGTGCATTGCAATTTTAAATTGGTTGACCACTGCAACGGTGCCCGAAAAATATTAGATGACACATGTTTACATCATAGTCCCCCAAAGGACCTTGGATCTATAAAATCCAATTAGAAGTAAACACGTCATCAATCTGTGTAATTGGCTAATGTACAATCCACTACCGTGTGTAGCCTGCTGTACCCCTTACCCCACTCACTTTACTTACTATTGGCTGGTGTTCTATATGCTCAAATGGAAATTGGCGGTATATATGTATCCAAACAATATAGATGTATATTGTTGTATGTTTTAATTTTTAAATTATTTTTTTTTTTTAATTTGATATTTAAATCATATTTGTTATTTATGTGGATATGCACATTATTTGGTCTTTCTAATTGGGTCAAACTCAATATAATGGTTATAATTGTATTAAAAATAGGATCAAATGATAATAGAACTGTTTGATCTGATTTTATATTTATATTAAGATGGTTTGGTTAGAGAATTTCTCCAACATTAAATTTCTTTTTGATAAAATCTCAAACCTTAACTTATTAATTTGATATGAGATGTTTTCCAAATCAAATCAAACATACCGTGAACCAAGGCTTTTAAAACCAATTTGGACAACAAAACGGTTAGGGTCCGGTTCCCAGGTTGAACGGTCCGACTATTTGAATCGAATGATCAGTCCATTCTGACAATAAAATAAAAAATTAAAAAGAAGGTCAAAATCGTTGAATGGTTTGAATGGTTCAACCACTTGGATCAACGGTTTACTACCAAATCAATGTTTTTTTGGCAAAAATCCGATTTTGAGGAAAAACAAAACTGGTCACCTGACCAGTTCCTGGTCCGGTCCGGTTTTGAAAACCATGCCGTGAACACCCCCTACTACTTAACGGTCTTTTTGACTAAAAAGAGAATTATTGACTGTAAAGTCTGTAATTATTCTTTTACACACAACAACGATGGTAACGTGTAGCAATTAGCTCCCAAACAGCCAAAATTTTCAATGTTCTACAAAAAAGAACTCTTCCTGATGTGTCTTTATATTGTTTTCACAGGCCGACTTTGAAGATTCACTTTCGCTGACTTGGGAGAAGCTTATGAGGGGTCAAGTTAACTTGAAGGACGCAGTAGATGGGACCATAACCTTCTATGACCAGGCGAGAAACAGGCTTTACAAACTCAATCATCCTCACACGGCCAAACTCTTTGTCCGCCCTAGAGGGTGGCACCTGCCTGAAGCCCACATTCTCGTAGACGGTGAACCTGCAACTGGCTGCCTGGTGGACTTTGGCCTCTACTTTTACCATAATCATGCCACCTTCCGCCGGACACGAGGTGCAGGCTATGGCCCTTTCTTCTATCTCCCAAAAATGGAGCATGCGAGGTTAGTAGCTTCACTTCTAATATTAGCTTTATACAATAATTAAGAGTGTTTTCGAATGGCTGTTGAACTGGATGGTTAGACCGTGTAGCCTGAGAACCGTCCAGGCAACTAGTTCCGTTTTACCTTAAACCTAGTTCTTGACCAGAAACTGTTGAATTGGTCAACAATCCGTTGATCTAGGCAATGAAACGGTTGACCTATTCAATGGTTTTTGGTCATTTTTTATTTTAACTTTTTTTTTTTGTCAGAATGAGCTGTCAGTTCGAACTGAACAGTTGAACCATCATCAACATGGAAACCGGTGGCCAGGTTCCGGTTTCAGTTGGTTTTTAAAACATTGATAATCAATTCCTTCATTGCCATGGAGACATCACTGTACCAACAATGGAAGTAATGTGATCGGCAGGGAAGCCCGCATATGGAATTCTGTGTTTGAAAGGGCAGAGACAATGGCAGGGCTAGGCAGTGGAAGCATTAGGGCTACAGTTCTCATTGAGACTCTGCCAGCTGTTTTTCAAATGGATGAAATTCTCTATGAGCTAAGGGATCACTCAATTGGTTTGAATTGTGGAAGATGGGACTACATTTTCAGCTATGTCAAGACTTTCCAGGCTCACCCTGATCGCTTGCTCCCAGACCGGGTTCAGGTTGGAATGACTCAGCACTTTATGAGAAGCTACTCTGATCTTCTCATTCACACTTGCCATAGACGTGGTGTGCACGCCATGGGCGGAATGGTATGTGGGAGTGGGGTATTTTTATCCTACTACTCTAGTAGTTATGTATATGTAAATACACATAAAAGATTAATTAGTTGTGACAGCTCCATCCATAAATCTTTAACAGGCAGCTCAAATTCCAATCAGAGATGATCAAGTGGCGAATGAGGCAGCATTGGAGTTGGTGAGAAAAGACAAACTAAGAGAAGTACGGGCAGGCCATGATGGGACCTGGGCAGCCCACCCTGGTCTCATCTCCGTCATCATGGAAGTCTTCACAAATTACATGGGTGCCACTCCCAACCAGATAGAAACCATGAAGCGAGAGGATGCAGCCATTGTGACTGAAGAAGACCTCTTACAAAGACCCAGTGGTGTCCGGACAATGGAAGGCCTCCGACTGAATACCCGGGTTGGAATCCAATACCTAGCAGCATGGCTCACCGGAACCGGGTCAGTGCCTCTTTACAACCTCATGGAGGATGCTGCCACTGCTGAGATTAGCAGAGTTCAGAACTGGCAATGGTTGAAGTATGGGGTAGTTTTGGACGGAGACGGGCTTGGGGTGAAGGTGAGCTTGGACCTCTTTGCTAGGGTGGTAGAAGAAGAAATGGCCAAGATTGAGAAAGAGGTAGGTGAGGAAAAGTTCAAGCACGGCAAGTACAAGGAAGCTTGTAAGATCTTCAATCGGCAATGCACAGCTCCTACCCTGGATGAATTCCTGACGTTAGATGCATATAACCATATTGTCATCCATCACCCCAACGGATCCCCTAGGCTCTAAAATCTCATCATGTAGAGAAGCCTATTAGGGTCTATTGTTTGGTGATCAAATTATCCAAAACAATGACTATATGATCTTGAGGTCTCTCTAATGCTCTGAACACAAAACTATCTAGAAGCCTATGTTTATAATATTCCTCATATTTCAGAGTTTGCTGTTATTATCTTCTGTTGTGATCATCATCTTCAGGTATGTCTTGTGTCACAGTAGTCAATCATACTACCTGTAATAATAACTTTAATTGTTTGTATGGTATCATCAGTGATCTAAATTCACATGTTACTCTCTATCTATAGGGTTGTAAAAAGAATAGCCAAGAACCATTTGAACAATTCCCCCTGTCCTGAATGTATGCAACAGTAAACTGTTAGGCCACGATGTGCACAGAACCTAATTTAAAGACTTGGTTTAGATCATATTGTTAACACTAATTCTACAACTCCTAGAAACAAAATTCTGTAATAACCAGGACATGTCCATCCATGTGACAAAAAGGGCACAGAAACAGGGCTATTATTTCAAAGAACCAACTCAAAAACTGTGTATGATACCTGTACAAAATGGGATGGTGCAATACCACTATACCAATGCAATTTGGATCCACAACGCTGGATACAGGAGGCTTTTTACCTAGTTAGCCCACAAATGACCTTTATTCAACTGAAGAGTCTATCAGAAAGAAAATTGTGAATATTCTTCGCAAATGTAAGATGGAAAGCATGGACAGAATAATTTCTGGCATGGTTGCATCGATATTTGGTTTGGTCATGCATGACAAACTGCAGGTACATTGCAAACATATGTTTTATCTTCCAAAGGCCCTTGACCAATATGTTACTTGAGGGAAATCAGGATATTTTAAGATGCAATACCAGGCCAATAATGCTACAGGCCATCATCTCTTTTTTTCTAGCTGTATGGCAATTATGTATATACTGAACTAATGTCATTTCTCAAGCTCAAGCTGAAGACTGGGGGTTCCAAAACGATTTGATACCAAAAGGCCACTAAGATTTTGGAGAAAAGAAATAAAATGAAAACAGTAAAAAGCAATGTTCGTCTCCTAAAGATGAAAATACAGTTAATGATATCATGGTGGTCAGGATTCTCCAATTCAAACTGGCACAAGTCTTGTTGCTACAAGTCATTGGTAAACAGAAAATATTTTCATTCCAGCAAGCCATGACAATCAACTAAATGCATTTTCACATAATGTAATACAATGGAAACCAACAGTTCAGAATAGTAGGATCCAAAGTACTTATGGCAGAATTACAGAGAAAACGGTGACCAAGGTTTGCCCCCTGGCATCCATGTCAAGCTTGAGTAGTGGCTTTCCTGATCAAGTGAGCAATAACTGCTGTGACAAATCCCAGCAATGCACCAACAATAACCTGCAATAATATGTAAATTTGGAAATATTAGGCTCTTCTATTGTTGCATAGCAATAATAATATGTAGTGTTTACAGGATATGTTTGTTATGTTTTGTTTTTTCTGGGGGGGAGGTATTCAATGGTAGTTTGCATCTGCAAAATAAAGTAATCATGTATTGCTGATATTTTTAGAGATGGTATAGAATTATGTACTCATTTTTTCAAAACTAGTTTTGTAACTTCTAATATTCATCATGCTAATATGCAGTATGCAAAGTGACAGCTCGAATTACACCTGCAATCACTTTATATTTTAGGTACAATCATTTATCATCCTTTTGAGAATATCATGATGAGGAAGTTATCTTTAATGATTACAAGTCTTTCAAATTTCCCCTTTTTAGGAAAAGTTCATGAAATACCATTTGCTTTCTATACACTTCATTGTAGACCTGGAGCAAGAGCATAACTTTATAGCTTGAATAAAAAAGTTCACACAGAGACAAAGATGAGTTATGCTCAAAAGGAAAATCTTTACCATTTATCACATGGTTTTGAAGATGGAGTCTAGTATTACTTAAAACAAATGCATAATGCTAGACATGCACAACTGCATTAGGATACCCTATGGTCTATATAACAGTATAACTACATGATATATTTTTTCAAATAGTGACAAAATCAAAACAGGTTGATGCTACAACAAATAGTTCTTTTTCAATCAAACCTGAGAGGGAGTATGACCAAGAAGTTCACGCAATGGTCTGGTTTCTGCCAGAGGATGTTCAGCTGGAAGTTCAAATACAATTTGGTTCAGCACCTGCAGGATACCCAGTTTGAATATGATGACAACATATTAATCCATACATCCTGGAGTTACATTCCAGAGTTTATACAGTAACAAGGCACCAAGTCCCAATTAAAATAAAAAAGAAACTGATAAGAATTCAGCGGCTGGTCAGTCAATATTTCAACGACCCAAGAGAGCAATCATCAAACCTGCACGATTCAGAGAATAATCTCTTAGTGGTCTGTTATAAGTTTGTTATAGTCTGTTAGGAGTTTATTATCTTTTGTCCTTTTTGTTAGTTGTAACCAAATCTGGTTGAGGCTCTGTTATAAGTAGAAGGTGCAGGGGAAGGATGGAAACAAGAAGAAATTTACCCAATCTCTCTTCTCTCTCTCTCAATTTTTCTGGAGCTCACCTCACGCTCAAAGTGGGGAACACGTTGGTCCTATCAGAAACTAAGTTGTATTCATGCATCTACACGTTGCCTGAAACTAGTGAAGTATCATACCTCAGCTTGGCGCCCAGCATGCAATCTAACACCAAATGCATCATGCATCACCTGCCAAAAAATGACTTACATATGAAGCCTCAATTGGTTAGGCACTAAGAACATGGCCTATTAAAAGATTACCATAAGGATGTTGTTAATTTGTTAACATCTCAAATGAGCACAATAATAATACGTGGAAAGAATCATATCACCCCCCAAAAATGTAAAAAGGTCAACATATTTAAAAGTTACTTGATCAACTTTTATCCAAGAAAACAATTCTCATTCTCTCAATGCAGAGTATACAGCCAAGGAATACCAATGAACTATAGGCATGGAGCACAAAGATATTTGTACAGTAGCACCAATGGACTGCAGTAATGGAGTAACAATATGAAAACCATAATATGCAATGATTATGCTGCACTGCACATGTTACATGGTTGGTACACAGTACTTTTTTTTGCCCTTTTCAGCAACTTTATGGTACAGGGAAAAATACTATGCGGAATATACAAATTAAAAAGATATAATGCAGAGCAAAGGAGGTTGGCTCATTTAACAGTGAAGAGTAAGCCTTAAGAATTTTATAAATTAGATTGTTCAAGGACCAGAACTGCGAATCAATTAAAAAAGAGTATTTTATAAATTATTGAGTTCAACCAATGTATAAAATTAGGTGCACTTGGAATTGGAATTTCAGAAATCTTGGGACAATATTTCAATTCTGGTCAATTTTGAAAACGATTACCAAGTTCAACTAAGTAGGGTACAGGAAAATGTAGAAGAATTTCAATCTTTCATTACAATTTGGCCTTTTCCAAAATTGATGCAAAAACTGAGATCTAAAACTTGGTAGTTGCTCCACCATGCATGAAATATGGGACTTGCTAACAACTATTGCTCATAATGGAAAAGGTCAAATGACTTATTTTCCAGGAATGCAAAAATAGAAAACTAGTCTATAATGCATTATGGTGGAAATGGAACTAAATTGGAAAGCAAAGAGGTAACTTGTAGTACACAATTTATCACGAATCAGGAAAAAAACAGCTGGCATTAAGTTGCAGTAACAAGTAAACTAGATAATAAACAAATAAGTAATCTAGTAAGCCTCAGTTTATATAATGGATGATACACTTTTTTGTTTTTGAAAATTAAAATATCTCCTCTAGACAGAGTAAAGGCCATACCACACATGCTAAGATCATTGCAATTGCAAACACTGATCCTCCAAATCCATCTTGGAATCCAATAGCAATAGCAAGAGCAGTGACTGTTGCAGAATGCGATGATGGCATCCCACCAGAACTTATGAGCTGCTTAAAATCCCATCGTCTCTCCTTGTACCTGAAGATCTAATGAAAGTTCATAACTCTTAGGAGAAATTTATTTACACATACTGATATAAGAAGGCTAAGGAGAGATAGCTAGAACATAGCACTGACGCATGCAAATGCATATAAGATGTAAATTTTTGAATAAGCATATAGGATGTAAATTACATTCAAGTAACATGCACAATGCTTTCATTCAATAAATTTAGGTATGAAACAAGACTAACAATCAACCTGTAAAATTCAAAAGCTATTGAATGTTTATCTGGTTCTCCTTTGCAAAGTGGCACACCTCTTATTTTGTAGGAAACAAAAGTTACAAACTACAGAAGATTTTGGTTTTTATTTTCGTTTATTGCATCTTTACATTCACAATTTAGGTAGAATTCACCACCATAAACTTTGCAAGTCATTATTGAAATTAACTATGAAGGTCCTTACACCTAAGAACCTGAACCAAGAACAATTCCACCGATGGTGTCCTCTGTCCTCGATCAATTCTAAACTTAGAAAAGCAATATTTAACTAGATAATTATTAAAAAAGAAAAAAAAAAGAAAATGAAATAGAACAGAATAGCTTACTTGACGACCTCATGGGAGTTGTCAATGGGATGATCACTTTCAACAGTGACTAACATTATATTTATAAAACTCAATTAATTCTAATATGGATGTGGTAACAGTGCACAGAGAGATTAGCAACTTGTACGAAATACTTATCCAATCTTCATCTAAAGACACACTTTCACGACAGAGATACAGCCATGAGTATAAACCATGTCTACGCAGGAACAAATTTAGAAGTTGCGTCAATATACCACGATCAGTGCATCCCTAATGAGGACAGCATAGACCAACCCTATCCAAACATTATAAGGAAGCACTACATTATGCTTTTAATCCTATTAAAGACACAAAGTATCAAATAGCAAGTATAAGAAGAAATTTCCAATGAATTCTGAACTCTCTGTTCCATAAAATACTGACAATTTTCTACAGAAAAACTAAACTAAGCAAATGTAAAGCGAGTTGGTGCAAAGAAAAGTGGGAAACTAAGAATTGTGAAAAGCTAAAATTTCAACGCCTAACATCATCTGAATATTACATCAACAACTCGTGGTAAAAGGATACCAATTTCTTCGTCAAGCTGAGCATCAAAACAAGAATGAGAGAGCGAGAGAGAGTACCAGGTGATGAAGAACTTGCTGGATTGCGCGAGAGCGAAGGCAATGATGGCAGAAATGAAAGGGTAATTGGTAAAAACAGTGGAGGAAGAGGAGGAATAAGAAGATGGAGGAGGAGAGGGGACAGTATTTTGGAGAAGCGAGACTAATGAAGCTGTTATGTCATCCATGCTCTATTTGTCGTTGTCGAAGCTCAAACCAGTAATCCTTATCAATCTAATTCCGTCTATGTTGTATTTTTCTCTGCTTTCTTGTTCGATCTTGCTTGTTTATTCCTTCCTTTTCTTCAGCAATCTCGTTGTGATCTCTTACTTGTACAAACGCAGAGAGAGAGAGAGAGAGAGAAAGAGGAAAAACGAAGATTAACTAAGAGACATGGTTGTGTGAAGAAGATCTACAAGGCTATCGGTGGGCAACGAAGGTCCGTTGTAGTTCCAAGGGCAGAAAGCAAGCAAGAAAGCTCCCGTTTACTTGAAAACAACAATAAACGGACTTTTCTCTTGTTTGTCTCGTCCCTCCTCTCAGTTCTCAGTTCTCAGTTCGCCCCTTGCTCCACGCAAGACGCTTATTCTCTCTTTCAGGTTCTTACCGCTTTATTCATTCATAAATCATACTAATTTTTAAGTATTCTTTCCCTCGTTGGACAGTTGGCACACATCAGTGAATATGCCTTCATTCGTTCATGGATCACTAGAATATGCCGACCCCTTACCCCCCACCCTATATTTATATATAATTTTTATGCCAAGGGAGAATGCTAGCAAGACTCGCGTAGGCTACACGCAACCAAAGTTCAATTTACCACAAGAAACCCCACGATCCAACCAACGTCCTGGTGAAAAGGATTCAGAGCGAGGGTGTTCTAGTAAATTGAAACATGAAGTCTGGCTACACACCATCACCATCATGGTCGATTCAATTCAACAGCCCACCAAGGAATGGAATAGAGTAGAGAACTAGAGATATAATAGATATGGTACCGTATATGGCTACGGGATACCCCTAAGTCAAATTCCATATATATATATATGGAGGAATACAAGGGGAGGGAGGGGAAACATCTAGATTCTGGATTCATTATAGAATGGTGAAGTTGAACAGTTTATGTCTAAACTCCAAGCCATTGATGAATATGACGATATATACATGGTTTTACATGAGCGTGGCCGAGAAGAACATGTTAAATATTGAATTGAAGGGAGGCCCCCTCTTCGATTGCATCTGGGAGCTTGTAGCCTTGTATGTACATCTAGTGTTTTTGAATCGCAATTGACTGGACTGTTAGACCATTCAGCTTGAAAACCATCCGGTCAATTGGTTTTATTTAACCGTTTGATTTGGTCAATAATATATTGATCTAGACAATCAAATCATCGATCCGCTCAATAATCTTTGGTCATTTTTTATTTTAATCTTTTAATGTTTTTAATTTTAAATTGAAATGAATTGTCCATTTAAATTAAATGGTCGAACCATTAAGTAAGTTTATTGGAAGCAAGCAATATTTCACCTACTCCATTGTTATGTACTTATCTTCGCCTCTTGGACGTGATCGGTGATCCCGTCCATTAGCACGATACATCCTATAAAAACCGCATGATTCCTATCATTATCAATTTATTTATTTATTTTTTGAAATCATAAGAAGACTTTGTTCTTTTTCATCCAAGCATTTATCATTTTCCTTCACCATCTGAACGTCATAGATTTTCCCACGATTACATGAGAAATGACCAGTGCAATTTTGGAAGCATTTGATTCAGTATGGCTCAGTTTGGAAGGAGTATAAATACAAATATGTACAGTGCAAATACACACAGAATAATAGAAAATGCAATGTTTTGCACTTTCAAATTTGTATTTGTACTTCTAAACTGAGCTTAAAGTAAACCTAATCCATGCATTGCATTACATAGACAAACAACTGCAACGCAACCTGAGATGATCCTCCCCTCCTCACCTCCTTTCTATGCGACTTTGCAACCATCAAATCAAATACACCCTTTGACAGAGTCACAGAATGAATGTCCCACTCCCACATAGACAAATCAGGAGCTGCAGAAGATCAAGACATTCTTTTTGTGTGTGCACTATGCAGCACTTTCCGATGGCTCCACTTGAAACATTAAAATAAGCCACCACACCAACCGTCCCCAACTTAAAACAAAGGACGGTCCATCTCTCAAAAACCAAATCACAAGAAATTGATTCAGACTTGATCCATCACTGTACTTGTTTTAATATAACCACGTGTATCCAGGCCACCACTCAGCAAATAAGAAGGAAAAAATAATATTTTTTGGGGCTACATAAACTCTAATTATTTTCTTCACATTTTCACATAGAAATTAAACATTATATTTGAAAAAACGGGAGGGGCCACCACTTTACATTGGCTACTGAGTAGTGACCCTTCTTCCCAGTCACAAACTCAAGAGACCTACCTCCCGATCTGTTTCCTTACAAACCATTACAAATTAGCACCTCAAGTACAATCACTCTCCTGATTTGTTGCTGCAAAAGATTACAGTACACCTTGTTTATAGTACATCCTTCCCGACAAAATTCATGAGCTCCATCTTTGCTGCTTCCATTACAGCTGGGAAGTCTATGTGCATATACCTTCCCCTGTCAAAAGAAAATAGCATCACATCACAAACCATTAAAAGGAGGTATGATTTTTCCAGTTTTGGAAATCAAAATTAAACAGTCATGAAAATAGATATGGCTGCATGTAAAAGATTATTTTAAGTTGCTATCTTGCCTACTATAATTAGTCATCGACAAAGTTGAACTCATAGAAGTGTAATTTACATGCACTCAAGAAAGTTGCACTGCAACCATTGCCAAGGGTGCAACCCCACTGATCCTACTCAAAAATCCATCTCATACCAGTGTCATCAATGCAGCGTAGCAATGACTAGTTGTTTAGCCCCCTTTAATTGTTGTGATGACTAATTAGTGTCTAGGCACAAGCACTGACTAGTTGATGGGAGCTCTTTTGGTAAGTCAAAAAACTGTAGCTAAGCTTTGATGGGAGCCCTTTTGGTAACCCAGGTCCATCTGGCATTGGTGGAATAATAAGAGATGGAGAAGAGTGGTGGCATTATATTCAGGGCTAATAGGAGAGGGTGATTCTCTAAGAGCTGAAGTTCTATCTCTCCTCCAAGGGGTGAGATTGGTGAAACAACTGGACCCCCAACAAAATGAAGTGGAGAGGGACTCCAAACTGGTGATAGGGTGGGTACAAACAGGTAGCATGGGAATTTGGATCCACAGGCAGGTCATGAGGGAGATTAGAAAGCATATCAAGGGAGTGAGGTGCAACTGTTAGATGGGTAAGAAGATCAGCAAATGGTTTGGTTGATACACTAGCCAAACAAGTGACCAGTAGGGGTAAATTGTTTTGGGTTGAATTGCAAAATGAAATATTTTGGGGGATCAGTTTCCTTTCTTCTGGGAACTGGACCTATGTACTCTCTTAATCTATATTAATGAAAGTTACCATTTCCTATCAAAAAATAAAAGATATTAATGCAATCTCAGAAATAAGTTTATATAAGCTACATTTTATGAAAGAAAAGAATGACAACCAACATTTAGTTTAGTCTTTGTTTGGAACTTTGTTTTTCAAACAAAGAAAAAGTTTCCAAAGTTAAGAGAGCAACTTTGATTATTCAATGTGTCTTTTGTTTTTGGCAATTCCCTATCAATAACCATTGATTGGAAGAAAACTTAAAAAGAACTCCACTGCCTTCTATCTATCTTATTTACCATCACCTAATCATGTTCCATCACAAATATTTAATACAACAGCATGAATATAACAAAATGCAGATATATTCTATATTATTCTAAATAATTAGAGATACAAGCAAACAAATAAAGCTTTAGAATGACTTTGTGGTTGATTAGTTGTTAACTGACTAGACAACATAGTTGATGCTTAGCTGTCCTAGGCAACTGACCCAAGCAAAGCCAGACCCATAACCTCTGCCCTCCCAAAGAAATTAATCACACGAAACTTTACAAATTTCACCTTACCACTTAAAGACCAATAAAACAAAGGATACAACTCCAACCTAAGATATCTCAGCTTTTTCATTGCTAATTGACTAGTTGGTTGACTAGTTAATGACTAGTCGACACTCTGATAACACTGCCCATCCATCCAATCTATTGCATCTATTTGGAAAGTTGGCAAGAGAATGATGAACTCCAGAAGTAATCCATCCAACTCTTGGTTTTGATTCCCATGTAGGATTCATCACAAGAGGTCCAAAATCCTGCTTCAATCAGTAAATGGGGTAGGTCATTTTGATAGTGGATGTTCCAAGGTATCCCAGTATTGTTTCTAAGTTGAATGGTGAATAGACAGTAAAATTGTATATCCCTTCTATATAGCTTCTTAGCTTCTCTCCAAGATGACAAGATGTAGAAATAAAAGTTCACCCTATGTACTTAAAAATGAAAACAAAATTTAGTTAGAAGATACCAGAAATGAGTTCTGGACCAAGTAGTAGAAGGATATGCTGGGCTTGCAATGCCATGCATTATCCTTGCAACTGCTCTCGGTGTGAATTTTTCATGTGAACTGCTCTGCAGAAACACCTGTGTCACCAAGAAAAGGAACAATTTCAAAATAAGACATAACACCCTGAATGCGGAGTTCCTTGTGTTTGAATGTTAAAAAAAAGCAGTAATTAAACTTCACCTTTATATCTGCTCGCAAGAATGGGCTGCAAATAGAATAACAATTGCATCAGTACAATCATTAAAAATTTAAAGTGCCTATAACAAGGAAATTCTTGTGTCAAGATGGGAGGATAACACATGGCATATGGATCCTGGCTAAATCTCCTAGACCAAAATTTACCCAAATGAGTTGCTCTACTTAAAGCATCTCCTTAGTCCACACACATCAACTTCCAAGTATCCTGGTCCTGGGGTTGCCGTGCACTATGTGAGGTCTGATCAAATCCAAGTTGGTTTCATAAAGGGAATACTAGGTGATGACCTTATGCCAGATTTAAGCTGGTCAGGGATTAGCCAAAGCAAACCCAAACAGACACTTTTGAAGAGATTAGCCAGTTTTCTTGTTTGAAAAAGAAAGATACCCTTTTTTTCTCTTTTTTTTCTTCACAAATGTTACTATATGAAAGTCACATGGTAAAGAAAGATACTATAGTGTTGTAAGCTCAACAAAGGGATGTTGATGGTGTGATATGTTGCAAATGCAATAATAGGATAGCACTTCTAGTATTATTCCCTTATCATGTGGGCTTCTGATTTGCACTTGAATTCTGTTCTTTTTCCTTCTTTGAGGAAGGGGGCGAGTGGCATGTTGAGAAACAAGCAAACAACTAGGCATGGAGTCAATTGGGGTTAACCACCACAAACCCACAAAAATTCAGTTAGGTTAGCCAAGTGTGTAAAACTGCTATCCTTGCTCCTAACATATATTCCATGTGCAGAGTTGAGGCAGATGAGTGAATTTCTCCAGAACCTCCCATCCAGACAAAGTGTTAGCCCTGTTAATTTTACATTCCAAAACAAATTTGACTCTCAATGGGTGGTAATCAGGTTTAGGTTCTACATTTCCCTGTCAGTGTATGAGTCATAAAAAATAAAGAATATAAAGAATTGTCTCAACCTTCCATGGCCCATGTTATTTGCGATATTGGAACTTCTGTCATCATCTTTGCTGAAATAATAAAAAATCCTCCTCTGCAAGCATGCAGTATGCAGAGATCCAGAGCAACCATCCATTTTGGGGCACAGTTTTGAGGCAAAGGTTGCAGCATTGAACATAGCATCTAATTTCCTTACCTATTCAAGAGCAGCACATAAATCATTTAGAAAAGGTCCATGTGGATAAACTCTCAAATTAAATTATTAAAAGTAAAGACTGAATGCAAAATAAATTGCTAAGGGATGGACTTAGTAACCATTATCCTCTTATAAGGTCTGTTCTATTACCTATTTCCTTGTTATTCTCAATACTGCATCGAAAGGTGTGCCTCAGACACACCTAGGCACACATGTGAGCTGCATTTGAAGTCATGTGCTTCACCTAGGCCCATGCACAACCCTTTTGAAAAGGTGTGGGATTGGTGTGCCTAGGCATGCACCTCGTGCCTTGCCTTAGTTTTGCACTTTTTGAAATTTCAAGCATAGAGGCTAGATGGAGGTGCTCTGCCCCTGGACTCCCAACCAAGCTCCTTGAGGCAAACCGAAATAAGTCCATGCCAAGGTCTCAAAATTTTAACCTATATATAAAATATTATTTTTTTTAAAATTTAATTGTAATTCTTATCTTCTGAGAAAATATCTTGCATTAAGAAGGACAAAAAAACTAGCAAAAGAGGGTAAGAACTACAACTATAATTAATGCAAGATATTTTTCAGAAGGTAAGAACTATAATTAATGCAAGTCAAGGCTGAGTAGAACACCCCCCCCCCCCCCGGCGCCTTCTGCTAATATTCTCTCATCCTTGATGCAAGATATTTTTCAGAAGGTAAGAACTACAACTATAATTACAAACTAATCCTTTTATATACAGGTTAAGAATTTAAGACCCTGGCATGGACTTATTGGGTTTGGCAACACTGGAAAGCAATTCATAGTATTCTTCCTCAGTTTCTCAATTTTGTCAGGTATGATGTTTGTGATGGTAACTTTGTCTTCTTCTGGGAGGATACTTGGGTTGGAGAGGTTTCGTTGAAGGACCTCTTCCCTTCTTTATTCTCTGTCTCACAGTATAAAAATGAATTTGTTTCAAAATTTTTCTCCCCTTTGGCAAATCCATTGGCACCTAACTGGGATTTTGGGTTCCATAGAGGTTTAAGGGAAGAGGAAATTGAGTGTCTAACAAATTTGCTAAGCTTACTTGATAAAGTTTGTTTGGACCCTTCTGAACCTGATAAACAGATTTGGACACCCTGGCCGAATGGGTCTTTCTCTTGTGCTTCATTTTTTAAGTCCCTTACTCAATCTCCCCCAACCAACCTTTTCCTGTTAAGGAAATATGGTGCAGGCCTATCCTCTCTAATGTTATGGCTTTTTGTTGGGAGGTGTATTATGGGAAAATAAACACCTTGGATATTCTACAAAAGAGAAGGCCTTTTCTCTATCTCTCACCTACTTGGTGTATTCGTTGCAAGTCTCATGGTAAGGATTGTCACCATTTACCAATATCTTGTTCCTTTACTGCAGAGTTATGGGAGTGGATCTTCTCGTTGTTTAGATGCAGGTTGCTTAGGCCAGCTGATGTAAGTTTGATTTTTTATCCTTCTTTCTTCCCTTGGCATCATAGAAGAGGAAGAATTATGCAGAGGTGTAGCAACACTTATTTGGGCAGTGTAGGAAGAGAGAAATGCCAGAATCTTCTAAGGGAAGGAGATAAGCCTAGAACAGCTGAAGGAGTGCATTCTAAATAGGGTGATCTTGTGGCTAAAATCACTGGACATATTCCACCAATTCTCATTTAATGATATTTGGAGGAATTGGTTTGCAGTGGCAAACTGTTCATCTTTAAAGGCTATAGTAAATATCCTCCTGAAAGATTCTTAAAGCTGAATTTTGATGGCAGTTGTGTTGGTAATCCAAGCCCCTCAGGGGTGGGAGGGGTGCTGAAGAATAAGAATGGTAATGTGGTTCTCATTTATTCAGATCCCCTAGGAGTTAGAAACTCTACTAGGGCAGAACTCCTAGCTGCTATCCAGGGTGTACAACTAGCAATTCAGATAGGTGTGGAACAGCTGCTAATAGAAGGGGACTCCAAGGTGGTAGTGGGCTGGCTACAAAACCCAGACTCTATAGTATGGTGCTTTAAGAATGAATTAAAAAGTTCAATTGGCTGACAAGGAGTCTTGTTGTGAGAATACAATGGGTGGGGAGATCAGTAAATGCTATGGCTGATGGTCTTGCAAAGCAAGGGACAAACAGGGAACGATTGTATTGGGCCCAACTGTACTTTGAATCTGTTTTCTATCTTTTTGAATCATTCTTGTAGTTAGGAGAGGACGCAGCTTGTGCCTTTCCATGGGAAGCTTGTAATTATTCTTTCTATTAATGAAATCCTGCTTACTTATCAAAAAAATGTTAATGTATTTTAACTTGAACAAATAGGCTTTTAACTAATATTATTTTTTTTAATTTGTGTCTTGCACCTTGGACACAAAAATACCCTTGTGCTATTTCTCGTGCCTTGTGTAGCACAGAAACTAAAGTGAGGCCTAGATGTGTAGCATAGAAACAAAGAGCTAACAAAAGAAAGAAGAGAAGAGAAGAGATGGGAATAAGAGAAAAACCCTAGACAATCAGACCTAAGGGTAAGGGCAATCACACCAAATTCTGTAGAGAAACTTTCTCTGTTCATTAGCCAAAAACTATTCTTCAAATGAGCCTTACAAGCTTAATAAGAAAGAAGCTTCCAAAGGAAGAAACTTGCCCCAAAAGTTAGCTTGTCCAACAAGTCACTTGTAAAAAAAAAGCTAATTTAGACTAAGCTTGCCCCAAACAATCACAAACATAGAGCCAAAACAAAGGGAAATTACTAGGCTCAGACCTGTCCCAAAACATACCCACCAACATGCAAAATTACAAAAATACGCTTGCTATAAAAAAATGTAAGAAAATCAAATAAGTCCTGTCCAGCAGCAAACTCAACCACACAAAGAGCATCTTAAGGTGGATTGAAGACTCTAGGATTTTCCTAAGTTGATCCACTACTAGCCCAGATCCCAAGTGGGCCCCACATCGTCGTAATGATGCCAAATAAGCATAGGAGCAACTTTGGTTCTCTTTTGATACACCTTAAGTTGATCCTCATCAAGAAGTTATTTTTATTTTTTTGCTAGTTAAGTTATTTTCAAATATGACTAAATAAAAAATATGTTTACAGCACAAATTTTGAAGGTCATGGGAGCTCTATTGAGATTAAGATAACATAGATATATTCATAGAATTAGGGTTTTAGGAATCAAAGAAGCCCTGAGGAAAATGAAGGTAGGAAAGGCCTTGAGATCTTTTAAGGTCATGGCCATCCACCTTTTAGGGGTGCTTGGATCATTGTTTTTTTTATCAGTGAATATTCAGATTTATTAAATCAAAGTCAAAGATAGTACAACTTAGGGAGAGGCACGAGATGCTACCTCCCCTTTAAAGAGGGGAGATGGAAGAAACCATCAACCCTTTAGTTAAAGAACATAACAAAGGAAAAAGAAAATTACAATGAAGCCCAATACAATGAAACCC